CCCCCCCACAAGTGTCCACTGGCACCTCCATCAGCCTCGTGCTTGTCCCCATCCCCACACATCCCCAGAAGGTCCCACTGCCTCCCCCCAATCTGCAAGATGCTCCTGGGGGTTGCCCCCCCCATGGCAACCTGGGCTGAAATTGGTTCCCCCTCAACCTGGGCTGAAATATGGGACTGGGTTTGGTTTTATTGGGGGGGGGGATTCGCCAGTTTTTGTAGGACCTACTGAAACCACCGCTGGGTGCATGTGGGGTGAGTCCCCCCCCACAAGTGTCCACTGGCACCTCCATCAGCCTCGTGCTTGTCCCCATCCCCACACATCCCCAGAAGGTCCCACTGCCTCCCCCCAATCTGCAGGATGCTCCTGGGGGTTGCCCCCCCCATGGCAACCTGGGCTGAAATTGGTTCCCCCTCAACCTGGGCTGAAATATGGGACTGGGTTTGGTTTTATTGGGGGGGGGGATTCGCCAGTTTTTGTAGGACCTACTGAAACCACCGCTGGGTGCATGTGGGGTGAGCCCCCCCCCAAGTGTCCACTGGCACCTCCATCAGCCTCGTGCTTGTCCCCATCCCCACACATCCCCAGAAGGTCCCACTGCCTCCCCCCAATCTGCAAGATGCTCCTGGGGGTTGCCCCCCCCATGGCAACCTGGGCTGAAATTGGTTCCCCCCCAACCTGGGCTGAAATATGGGACTGGTTTGGGGGGTTTTTTGGGGGGGAAATCACCAGTTTTTGTAGGACCTACTGAAACCACCGCTGGGTCCATGTGGGGTGAGGCCCCCCCACAAGTGTCCACTGGCACCTCCATCAGCCTCGTGCTTGTCCCCATCCCCACATGTCCCCAGAGGGTCCCACTGGCTCCTCCCCAGTCTGCAGGATGCTCCTGGGGGTCGCACCCCCTCATGGCTGCCCCTCGGAGCCCCCCCATGACAAAGGCCACGGAGGGCAGAGGGGGTGAGCAGCCGTGGCACAGGGCACCCAAAAGTGCAGGTGGCACCCAAAAATATCCATGGCACCCAAAAATATCCATGGCACCCAAAAATCTCCATGGCACCCAATTCCCCCCCACAACTGGGGGGGGACAGAACTCCCAACAACCCCCCTTTTGGGGGGGTGTCCAGGCAGCAGCAGCCCCCAAACCCTCTGCTCATCTCCAATTAGTGCTCCCCAGCTTCATTAACACTCCCCCCAACCCAACCCAAGTCAAGCCATTGGTGGCACCGCATTAAATTCCTCCGCAGCCCCAAGAGGGGGTGAGGGAAGACTCTGCACCCAAGGTGGGGGGGTTGAGGACCCCCCCCCCCCCAAAACCGAGGCGGGGGCTCACCTGCCAGCAGGAAGGTGATGAGGCAGGTTTCCTTTGGCATGAAGAGCTTCAGCCGGGAGCCGCTGAAGACATATTCCACCACGGCCTCGGAGCGGCCGGCGCGCTGCAGGAAGGGCAGGAACTGCTTCGCCTTCTGGGTGTCCTGGGAGGGGGGGGTGGAAAAATGGAAGGGGGGGGTGTCTGTCAGGGTGGGGGTGCAGTGTGCTGGGGGGCACTCGTTGCCCCAGTTGATGTAGAGGGAGCTGATGGCACCCCAATGTCAGGGTGATGTGGGTGCTCCTCGCCACTGCCTGGGTGCCCAGATGGGCCTTGCCCGTCCCCATCCTGGCTGGGTAGGGATGTGGGATGCGGGTAGGGATGGGCAGGGATGCAGGATGTGCACAGGGATGCGGGACACGGACAGGGATATGGGCAGGGATGGGCAGGGATGCAGGATGCAGGCAGGGATGCGGGATGCAGGCAGGGATGCGGGACATGGGCAGGGATGGGCAGGGATGGGCAGGGATGGGCAGGGATGCAGGATGTGCACAGGGATGCGGGACACGGACAGGGATGCAGGATGCAGGCAGGAATGCAGGCAGGGATGTGGGATGCGGGCAGGGATGGGCAGGGATGTGGGATGTGGGCAGGGATACGGGATGCAGGCAGGAATGCAGGCAGAGATGTGGGATGCAGGCAGGGATGAGGGATGTGGACAGGGATGCGGGATGCAGGCAGGGATGCAGGCAGGGATGTGGGATGCGGGCAGAGATGCAGGATATGGGCAGAGATGAGGGATGCAGGCAGAAATGTGGGATATGAGCAGGGATGCGGGATGCAGGCAGGGATGCAGGCAGGGATGTGGGATGCGGGCAGAGATGCAGGATATGGGCAGAGATGAGGGATGCAGGCCGAAATGTGGGATATGAGCAGGGATGCGGGATGCAGGCAGGGATGCAGGATATGGGCAGGGATGCAGGATGCAGGCAGGAATGCAGGCAGGGATGCAGGATGCGGGGAGGGATGAGGGATGCAGGCAGGGATGAAGGATGCAGGCAGGGATGCGGGATGCGGGGAGGGATGAGGGATGCAGGCAGGGATGAAGGATGTGGGCAGGGATGAGCGATGTGGGCAGGGATGCAGGATGCGGACAGGGATGCAGGATGCGGGTAGGGATGAAGGATGCAGGCAGGGATGCGGGATGCGGGCAGGGATGCGGGATGCGGGCAGGGATGCGGGATGTGGACAGGAATGTGGGATGCGGGATGCGAGATGCGGGCAGGGATGAGGGATGCAGGCGGGGATGTGGGATGTGGGCAGGGATGTGGGACGCAGGCAGAGATGCAGACAGGGATGTGGGATGCGGGCAGGGATGCAGGATGTGAACAGGGATGCAGACAGGGATATGGGATGCAGGCAGGGATGTGGGATGTCGACAGGGATGCAGGCAGGGATGCAGGATGCAGGCAGGGATGCAGGATGTGGACAGGGATGCGGGATGTGGGCAGGGATGAGGGATGCAGGCAGGGATGTGGGATGCGGGATGTGGGATGCAGGCAGGGATGCGGGATATAGGCAGGGATGGGGAAGGCAGGGAGGGATGCAGGATGCGGGCAAGGATGCAGGATGCAGGCAGAGATTCAGGATGCGGGCAGGGATGTGGGATGCAGGCAGGGATGAGGGATGCAGGCAGGGATGAAGGATGCAGGCAGGGATGCGGGATGCAGGCAGGGATGCAGGATGCAGGCAGGGATGCAGGATGCAGGCAGGGATGCGGGATGCAGGCAGGGATGAGGGATGCAGGCAGGGATGAAGGATGCAGGCAGGGATACAGGATGCAGGCCGGGATGCAGGCCGGGATGCGGGATATGGGCAGGGATGGGGAATGCAGGGAGGGATGCGTGATGCGGGCAGGGATGCAGGATGCAGACAGGGATGCGGGATGCAGGCAGGGATGCAGGATACGGGCAGAGATGAGGGATGCAGGCAGAGATGCGGGATATGGGCAGGGATGCAGGATGCAGACAGGGATGCAGGATACAGGCAGGGATGCAGGATGTGGACAGGGATGAGGGATGCGGGCAGGGATACGGGATGTGGGCAGGGATGCAGGCAGAGATGCAGGCAGGGATGCAGGCAGAGATGCAGGCAGGGATGCAGGCAGAGATGCAGGCAGGGATGCAGGCAGGGATGTGGGATGTGGACAGAGATGCGCGAGATGGGATGCCGGCAGGGATGTGAGATGCAGGCAGGGATGCGGGATGCGGACAGGGATGCAGGCAGGGATGTGGGATGCAGGCAGGGATGTGGGATATGGGCAGGGATGGGGAATGCAGGCAGGGATATGGGATGCAGGCAGGGATGCGGGATGTGGACAGGGATGCAGGCAGGGATGTGGGATGCAGGCAGGGATGCAGGATGCAGGATGCGGGCAGGGAAGGAGGGAAGGGACAAGCAGAAGCAGCTGAAGGTCTCAGGAGCCGCGGGTGGGAGCCAGGAGGGGAAGGGAATGGCACTGGCTTGCCCACACGCGTGACCCAAAGCCACCAGCTGCGTGGAGCCACCACGGTGGCCCCAGGAGCCACCCCAGGAGCCACCCCAGGCCCCACCGGTCCCCAAGTGCCAGAGCTGCCACCCCCCAGCTTTGGCACGGAAAAGGACACCGACACTTGCCATGCCGGGGGCTTCAGCATCCTTCCCCCAGCAGTGCCACATCCCGGCACCCACAGGGCACCAACCACAAAGGGGGGTCCCCCGCAAACCCTGACAACCCCCCAGCACCTGCTGGGGCAGAAAAAGCCCCCCCTTTCCCCCCCAAAATCTGGCTGGGGAGGGTTTTTTCCCAGTGCACTCAAGAAGTCAATAGGACACGTGTAAGTGCGACCTCCACGCAAAGGAAAACCTCGTTACCCGGCATTAACCGCTGAGGTCGAACATATGCAAATGCAGAGTGGGAGCCGCTAATGAAGGCTACTAATTAGCGGTAATCACTACACAGCCAGGGTGTGATTAGCTTAAGGAAGAAAGGGCTGTAAGAAGGAAGCCCACCCTGGGGTGAGCTCCCCCCCGGCTCCTGCCCAAAAGGGGGTGATGGAGGAACCTCCTCCCCCCACCAGCAACTCCCCGAGCGGGGGGTGGAGGTGGTGAGGAAGAGCTCGGTGGTGAGGAAGAGCTCAGTGGTGAGGAAGAGCTCGATGCCGAAGATGAGTCTCGGTGGCCAAAGAGCTCCTGGGTGGGGGTGATGCCACCTCCACCACGCTGGTGGCCACAAGGGTCTCCTGCTGATGGTGGGGACTGGAAAAAGTTGGATGTGATGCTGGGAGCTGGGGTTTGACTCCTTGGACCCTCCCCAAGGGCTCCCCAGGCACCACCAGAGCTGGCCCTGAGCCCACCGAGGGTGTTTGGTGGCCACCCTGGGGTGCATCCCACCTCTGCCACCACGGGGGTTGTCCCCGACCCCACACAGACATCGTGGGTCCACCTCACACAACACCCTTCCCTCTAAACTGGGTGGATTTGGGGGGTGGAGGAGGAACTGGTTGGGTGGTTGCATCTAGAGGGGGGTGGTCAAGGGCTCAACGGCCAGATGGAGATGGGAGACACGTGGTGTCCCTCAGGAGGTCCCTACGGGGACCAGCACCGTCCGACATCCCCATCCACGACATGGACAGTGGGATCGAGGGCACCATCAGTGAGTTTGTGGATGCCACCAAGCTGTGGTGACACGCTGGAGGGACGGGATGCCACCCAGAGGGACCTGGACAAGCTGGAGAAGTGGGTCCTTGTGAACCTCATGAGGGACCCAGCCAATGGGGACAGACGGACACTGCAGTTGGGATGGAGACGAGGAGCTCCTGGACCTGTTCTCCGGGGCTGGTGACACCACACTTGTCCCACTTGGCAGGGGACAACCAAGACCCACCAGCCTGGGGTGGGCAAACAGCCCCCAACGTGCACCAGAGCTGGACCAGGAGCTTCTGGAGGGACCGGGGGGGCACTGGGAGCGGGTCCTGGGGTCAGGATGTTCCCATCCTGGTGTGTCCCATCAAGGGGACACCATGGGATGTGCCCTCATGGGGACACGGTGACAGAGGCTCTCGGATCTGCCAGACACAGGGGAGCCCGTGCTGGTGGCTGGGTGGATAAATTTGGATGGGGAAGAGAAGTGGGGGGGTCTCTGCCACCTTGGGGTCTTCCCCCTCCCCATCCCGAGCCCCAAATCCCACTGTCAGGAGTCATCCCTGGCCACCAAGTGCCAGTCCTGTCACTGTCCCTGGGGACAAAGAGGCACCTCGGGGCATGACCCACTTCGTGCATCCACCTCGGGGGGTGCAAACCCCCCCCAAATACCCCCATCCTAACGCCTTTTTGGGGGGGTCCCTAACCCCAGGTGGGGGATCTGCCCGCACCTCCCACCCGGGTGCCACCCCCCTCCCTAATTACTATTATTTTAACCACCCCCCAGCATTCAATTAGTTGGGGATCGAAGGAAAAATGATGCAGAAATACAGCGCGGGGGGGCAGAGGCTGGAGGGGGGGGGAAATATATATATAATAAAAAAAAATATTATCCCAACTGCACTTTTCTGTGAAGCTCTGCCAATTATGCAAAATTATTCAAGGACTTTGCACAAGGACAGGAGCTTTTCCGGCGGCCGGGAGAAGGGGAGAAGGGAGAGAGCAGGGATTTGTGGGGCTGCTGCCCCCCCCCGCTTGGCTTTTGTTCTTCATTTTGGGGGGGCTGGGGGGGTGGGATTTTTCCTGCTGCAGCATCATTGCGGGTCCGTGGTGAGATGGGAGATGCCTGCCCTGGGGACAGGAATGTCTGGCTGTGGACAGGGCGAGGATGAGGAGGGGGTGATGGAGAGATGGAGAGGAGCGGGATGGTCCCGGGAGGATGAGGAGGGGATTGGGGAGGAGGGGGATGCTCCCGGGAGGAAGAGGATGGGACTGGGGAAGGCTCGGAGTGCTGGAGAGGAGCGGGATGCTCCAGGGAGGATGGGGATGGGAGTGGGGAGGAAGAGGATGCTCCTGGGAGGATGAGGATGGGACTGGGAGGAGCAGGATGCTCCCGGGAGGAAAAGGATGGGACTGGGGAGGAAGAGGATGGTCCTGGGAGGATGAGGATGGGACTGGAAAGGAGCGGGATGATCCTGGGAGGAG